CTTACCATAATAGAAGTTGAATAGTGCTTTATTTTACACTAGTAATTATATTAACAGAATGGCCCTTCTTAATCACACAAACTCCACCACAAATTAATGTACTCTACACCAAAAATTAATGCATCTCTTAATCAAACAAAAGAAAAAAGAGACTTCCACACCAAAAATATAAGAGGAATTTCGTACCATGAAAGAAGAAAGGATCTCAAGCAAAGATAGAATATCGGTGAAGTCGCATAAATTCTCATCAGACGTTAAACTCGGCAGAACATCCTCCCTCAAGCCTGAAATTTCCACTGTTCTCTTATTCGGAGAACATAATACTGGTACTAGCAAATCTTGAGGCAAGTAATTGTACTGCCCGTGATTCTGAAGCTTTTCCAACAGTAACGACACGACATCCTCCATGGAAATTGCACCCTCTGAGAAGGGACAATTATTGCCACACACCCAAAACTTTGATAGTCCAAAGGAACTTGAATTGGCCGATATAGCTTGCTTCTCAAGAAACGTAACTAGTGATTTTACAACAGTCATTGATATTGAATATTGCTGGATGGACAAAAATTTTGAGCCGCACGCATGAGCAAAAGCATGTAGGATTGCCAGCATCAAGAGACGGTCAAATTTATGCATCTGGATAATGTTGCACGAAGTCTCACAAATAAAACCAATATGGCCAACTGCAGAGCACAATGATGCTAAAAGACTTGCCCCAGCAACCAACAGCTGGGCTGAAGCAATAACTTCAGATACCGTTACGGAATTACCGTTAAGAACAAGGTTTGCCTTAAAACTATGAGTAGCCTCTGGACTACCAGAGACTTCGTCACAAACAAACACTTTCCCCTGTAGTATAAAGTTCTCGATGACGGTAAATAGTTCTAACAAATCACATGTCTCCATGAACATCTTTCTCAAAACTGGATCAGAGAGTGCTGCATGACGGAAAATTAATTAGTGATAGTTCAGGAATGAAACGGCAATGGGAAACAGCTATAGTGAATTTCAATTGGATATTTACCTGATTTAATGTTCTGTGTTACCGAATCAAATGACTGGATTAAATCATCATTCAAGAAATCTGACAGCTTACTAACTCCAACCTCAGAAATCCCATGTAGTAAAAGCGAGAAGAGGACACAGACCTTCTCCCTGAGACACCATAAAAAAGGTAGATTCATTAGCTACTCATTACTTTCTTTAGGCCATCTAGACGTCGAACCACATGTAATATAATGCATTCAACTTAACACAGTGGGAGGCATTAATAAGGGGCAAATATTATTCACAGAACCAGAGCTCCATCTCATTAGGACCCAAGGTATGTAGTTCATAAACAGTCTGTGAAGCTGCATACATATCCTGGGGTAGTTAAGGGCCCAAAATATTGGACAAATAAAGTATGATACATATAAAATTTGTGCAGATGTTATTTTTTCTTTAAAGATCAACATGAAAATAAATATTCCTGAATGATTTTCAAGAACAAAAAAAAAAAAAAAAGAAATCCCTGCGGCAAGTGTACGTGGATGGTCAGACAGAGAATAGTTGATCAAGAGTCAAGACTAGTAAGAAACCTAGATATTACAGACTTATGTCCAAAAAAATCTCCTGTATGACAGTTAATATTTATCAGTTATATAAACAACAGACAACTACAAAAGTAAGATGGATCTGCCATCCGGATAATTGACTTACTTCATTGAAAGATCTTCTGCCTTCAAAAGAGCATGCTGAATACCTTGAAGGAACATCTCAGTTGAATTATAGAAAGAACATCGTGGTATGCAACTCTCCATTGTCTGAAGAATCCTAAAGATGCTAGAACTGTCTTTGTAGTCTGAGGATATTATAAAATATCTTGGACAACAATCATTAGGAGAAACAAATCCACTTTCACACAGTAGACCAAGTTCATTGTTTCCAGAACCAGATAGATTTGACGTCCCCAACTTTTCAGCAACACGGGTCTGCTTAAGAAGATTGTCATTACCCAAAAAGGCACCTTTACTTTTTAAAAGGTCAACAGAATCATCCCTAGGCTGCAACTGCAATGAAACCATGCTTGTGGGGTTCTTCTCCATGTCGATAATACAAAATCTAGAGTTTGATGCTGCATTATCCTTTGTATTTGACGATGCCTCTGGAAAACCCTTGTATGTCAGCATTTCAGGATTATCTACTTCAAGTTGTTCACCTCCAGGAATATCAACCTCAGGTGGCAAAGGAGATAGAGGCATCGCAATAGCTCGACGGTAAGAGCACTCATCATCAGCGTCCTCTAAGTCCAGCAATTTCATATAGTCACAGGCAGCCATTTCATCAAATTCTTGTGGAAGGCACTGATTCCTTCCAAATTGATCATCCTCTCCATCCTCCAAATGCCAACCAATTTTCAATAAATCTCTCTGTGGCGGTGAAGCACGCATACAAGCATCAGATTGATCAACACCCAAGTCAACAATGCTTTTTGGTTCCCCAGAGTCTTCTAAATGATGAACATCTTTCATTCCCTCAGGTGACATTTTTCTCCTCTTGCTCGGTCTAACATGTTTTCCGCTTGAATTCTCTTTCAGAATGTCTTCATGTTCATTCTTTTGATCATTGAGTATACCATCCAGTAGGGAAAGTTTCTCTAATACCCGTTGATGCAGCTTCTCGCCCATAGAATATGAATTTTCGATGGACTCCACCGCATCAAGAATCCTCTTCTTTCCAGAGTAACCAACTCTCTTTTCCTTATCGCTATCCTTAATTGGACTTCTTATGCCGTTATCAACTTCAGCTACAGCATGTTCATTGTACATCAATCCCCTCTGGTCAGACAACCGTGGTACAGTGGGTCTGAGGTTTGATACATCTTCCCCAAGTTTATCTGAAGCAGTGACAGAGGTGGTACGTCTATCCTGTGATCCCACCAACGTTCGATCAGAAAAAGATGCCGTACTTGAATTTATCGCAGAACTCTGTAACAATTTTTGGTTGGAACCTCTAGATGGAGGATCCAGTCCAAAATCTGTACCTGATACGAGTGGCCTTTGATGCCCATCTGAGCGTGTTTCTCTCATTGATGTCCGATTCCCCATCTGCAGAGAAACATTTCCCAGTTAATGAGTGCAAATAATTGAAATTTTAAATTTGTGCAAGTAACAGCAGATGAGAACCTTACCTACATTGATTTCACACGAAGAGAAAACAGAGTGTAAATAGTTGTGAGCTAGAGGAAACCAACCTTTCCCAGATGATGTGTACCTTCAAGGCCGTGCAGGAAACTCTTATCTAGAAAATTCAAACGCTGTTGGAAAAAAAGATACTCCTGCTTCAGGTGATATAATTCTCGATGTAGCATGCTGTTACGAAGGGCTTCCACTTTCGCTGTCTCATTGGCATGCTTCACAAGCATCTTTTCTAGCTTCAAACGCTTTTTAAGCAACTTAACTGTATCAGTTTCCATTACAACCTCTTTAGTTCTCAGACGTGCATTATCTGCATTTGCTCTCACGGAAACAAATTCCTGCAGCTCCTTCTGTAATTCTTTTAGCATCAACCTACAACTTTCCAACTCCTTACATAGCTGATCAGCTCGATGCTTCTGTTCCAGGGCCAGCTTTTCCTGTACTTCAGCAAGTTCCTTATATTTCTTAGCTTTCTTTTTTTCTGAATCTGCATGCTTTCTCTCCCTATTAATATTATGGTCTTTATCCGAGAGGAGTTTCTCCATCCATTTTGGCAATTGGGCATCTTTCTTTAGCAGATCCATGCAAGCATCATCCAGCTTATCTACATCTTTTCCAGTTTTGGACTTGTACGCTTGATCCTTGATAGCTTTTTCAGAGCATAATTTGTTATTCAACTCCTCTAATTTTTCAGCCCTAATCCTGGCATCGTCCAACTTCAGATTCAAATCATCAGCCCGGTCCTTCTCAAAGATGGCCTTCTTTAAATTCGCTTCTGCAAGGTCATTTTGTTCTTTCAATTTTATCTCAGCCAAATCAGCCCTTTTCTTTTCTCTTGCAGCTCTCTGTTTCTCTACCTCCGCTTTCTTCTCTGCAGCTTCAACTTTAGACTTCTCTGAAGCTAGTTTTGACTTCACTGCATCAGCTTCCAGTTTTAATTTTTCCAACAATAACCTATTTTCCTCAGCCTTTTTCCTTTCTACAGTAGCCGCTTTCTGCGCTTCACTAACCTTCTTTTTCCCCGCCTCCATCTTCTTCAACGCCTCATCAGCTTTCTTCTTCTCCACCTCAGCTTTCTTTTTTTCCGAGGATGCTCTCTCCCTCTCTTTCTCCAGAAGCTCCTTCAGATGTTTAATCTCATCCTCGGCTGAATTAAGACGTTCTTGAATCTCCTTAACTGCATCTCCAGGAGCAGAATTATGATTCTGCTTCAGCAATTGAACCTCTTCCTTTAAAGCAGATACTTCATCCTCAAGATCAACACGACGACCAAACTCTAGTTCTTTCTCATCTTTCCATGTATTAGCCTGCAACTTGACTTCCTCCAATGCTGTAGAAAGAAAAATTAATACTCAGAATAACATCATAAAATAATATAGGTAAATCCTCCAGTAACCACTTACAAAATGTCCATTTAAATAAAAACACAAGAAAACAACAATAATACCGAATTTCAGAATTCAATATAACAATCCGTCCTATAAATTTACCTGGTAATAACAATACTAAGTAATAAACTGATAATATGAAGAAATCTGGGGAAAAAAATTGTAGAAGAAATGCTACACGTACCTTTTCTGAGAACTCCATTTTCCTTCTCAATCACATCGTACTTTTCCTGCACTAATGTGGTACAGTTGCGAAACTTGTTCTTCAGCTCTTCAACCTTTGAATACTTATCCAAAAGCTTCAAGTGCTTCTTCTTCAACTGCAACAATCCAAAAAAAAAATCCAAAAACAGCGTTATAATCCAACAAATTCCAACATTGCTCAACTACATAATGGAAATTTAAAAGAATAAAAATGAGAAACAATAAACCGACCGCATCGCAGCAGGCGCCGGAGGCTTTATCTTCCACCACCGCCACATCCTCCGCCATATCTCCTTAAATCTGCTCTCAACTTCTGGAATTTAGAAAACCTAGATTCATTTGGGGGTATTAAAAATCCCCATTGGTTCAAAAACACATAAATTTCGTTGAATTGGAACACGTGAAGAGATCGAATCAGATCGCAACTAAGAGCCTTTGTCAGTAGAACAGAAAAACCGTTTGGCTACCAAAACCCATAATCCTCTGTATTTAGTAAGACGATGAGAAGAACCCTAGTTCAGGTGGTAGTAAGAATTAATCGCCCGGTTTAAAGTCGGTTCACGGGTACAGTAATTCAAATGTACGTACCCGACCCGTTCGACGCAGTACGCGGGCTGAAGTTGGGCTCTTTTGTTGGGGTGAATACATAGCCCGTTTAAGATAGCGAACGGGCTCAACTTGATCTTTTTGTTGGCCGCATGAGGATGGAATGGATTGGCCCAGTCCTAGAGAAGCCTGTCAAAACGTTAGAGCCTTTAGATGAGTTTGTCTATCAAATGAATTTGTGATTGTTTAATAAATAATTTTGCTCGGCTCAATTCGTTTACCCAACATGTAAAAATGTAGGTTCAAGTCGGCAAAATTTTTCTCTTACCACAAAAAAATTAAGATATTGCAACTTTACGAGATATACTAGTTTATTAGCAATAATACTTAATTGGGGTCAATGTCTTTATTTTAGGCTGAATTGAAACTAGCCGCAAATAAAGGGATTCAGTTTCCTATAATTAAGCATTATCTCTCTCAAGCATACTATCTCTCTCAAGCACCAGTAAGTCAGTTGGAAAAAAAAATAGGTAAGTGGATATTTTGAATTTGAAGCGTATACAAAAGATATACTCATTGTATACCATCGACATAAAAGAAAATTAACTATATCAATCTTGTCATTATATACGGAATATATACAGAACATATACAGAAGATATACAGAAAACATATAAACCCGAAAAATATATGAAATAACCTGGTAATCTTATCTTTTCGTAATTCTTTTTTGTTTCACGATCAGACTTATATACAGAAGATATACTCATTAAATACTTAACATATACATATGATGTATATGTGGGTTCTGAAATCAATTTTGATAACCGATTGAAACTCGATTGTATAATTAAAATATATTTTATGTATATGTTTGTCTCGATCTGTCGCTGACTTGAATTACGAGAATCTCGAGTGTATACTTCATGTATATGTGTGTTGTACAACAATGGTATATATTGTATATACTCGCAACATGTAAATTTTCATATCTGAAGGTAACATATATATAAATCATGTACATAATTTTCATACACGAAAACAACACCAAGTTATTCGTAAAAAAAGGGATTCAGTCACAGTGGTAGGGTCTCTACGCGGTCAATCTTCTTGTTCTTGGACGATTTCTTGAGAAGGGCTGCAGTGGTGGGATTTTTTGGATGCTATATTACTCGGACGGAAACATATACTGAAAATATACGGTATATACCCGTAACATATACAGAATAGAACTATCTATCAACGAATCAACCACACCAAATTGTTTCGACCTTCTCAGCCGCCACCCATCACCACCACCCCACACCAACACCTCATCACACACCGAACCACTGCCATTCAGATATTCAATCACAAAAAAAAAAAAAAAATTACAATATCTATTTTTTCCTAATAGTATTTAAACTGGAAAAAACTAAGATAATTTGAGAATTTACCTTGGCACTTTTGTGAAAATTCTTGTCGGATCTTATTAAATCGGCACTCGGCTTGGCCGTCTTCTTGCTCAGATGATCCTTATGTTCAGTTTTAAATTTTCGTTTCTTAGCCTTATCCTTAATTTCTTGCTCGTCATTGTCTTCTTCGCTCTCGACTTCTTCACCTTCACCATCTTCTGTATGAGATTCGTCCTCGAAATCGGAATCGGACGTTGCCCCTTTTTCTAACAATTCTTGTTTCTTTCCTTTAGTCAGTCCCCATACATTTTTTTGATCTAACAATTTTACTTTTTGGATGAGAGTGGGGGAGATTTTTTGGAAGGTGATAAGATTTCACCATTAATCACGTATAATTATTTGTAACAAGAGGTTTGTGGAAGAGAGTGGGAGAGAATTATTTGGAAGGGATAAGATTTCATCATTAATCAGGCAGAATCTTGATTGTGGTATTTTTGCAAATAAAATCTATAGATTTAGTCAATTTGCTAATATTTATAAGGGGACATTATTTAAGCAATAAAAAATTGTATATATCGTACAGTGTGGAATTTTCTCGTTCAAGTTTGACTCGTATAATCTTTGGGCTCGATTTGGCACATATATAAAGAAATGTTTGCTCAAGTTTTACTCGTATCATCTCGTGAAAGTTGGGCTCGATTTGGCTTGGATGAATTCTCAACCTTAAACTAAGTTGTTTGTGAATATATTTGGCTCACCTTGTTTAATAAACAAGTTTAATTCGTGTTCAAACTTTGCTCATTTATATGTGAAGAAGTCAAGTTTGAGCTTTCACAGGACGAATCGAGTTGTGTTCGCGAAGATCTCGATTTGAACATCCCTACGCACACTGTATTATATAATAATACAAAATCTAGTGATGAACTATTCATATTAAAAAAATACAAATACTAATGACAAGCAACACTCCTTTGTTTCTTCTTCAAGGGAGGACTGAATATTTTATTTGTTATATTTGTACATATTTGTCTCCGCATAAACGTTATATGTTTACTTTTTTGTCCTTCGGGGATTAGCAAAGACTAGAAAGAATGGAGAATGGCGACGAATAGTTCGATTAAACAACAATCACTAATCTCAAACAAAATCAAACAAGAAATTCAAAAAAAAGAAACAAAGTCGAGAGACGTGATACACGATCTTAGTTAGACAAAATTGTCAGTGATAGATGCTCATGGATATCGAAAAGCTTTTTTAAGATATAATGACTTTTATCCAGTGGCACTTTCAATATGCAAGGTTTCGGCGAAACTACTTGTGTGTGGACCTCTCAAGGAATGAATGAAAATGTGAATACAAGATGCTTACGAAATTTATGCTATAACAAGATTGTATTATCTTTGTGTTTAATGTATTATGTGCATATGGAATGATTAAATTCTAGGGTATACATAGGTGCTTGGAAGATCCAACATATTCAAACGAAAAAACGGATACAACCAGCCGAGGTTAAAGCTCTTGGTAGCTAGTTGCGACCACAATTGCACCCACGATGGACGTTACAACATGTTTGCGCATAATAGTGGTTGTTGGGTTCTATGAAGAACATCGATCGGTGTGCATAAACGATGAATATAATCTTAGCATAACAGATCTAGAGTAATGGTTTAAGAACTTACTGTTTAATATTTTTCTCAGACTCTGTACAGTCTTACTTGGTCTACAGGACCAGACAAACGGGGCATCTTAGAACCTTCTGTTGTATGATCGATCACCTACTCGAGCATGTCTTCATGGGCAACTCATCAGATCTCTCAAAGCTCATTCGATCAATCTTGGGAAAGAAAAAAAGAAGACCGAATTATCTTCGATTTTAGCTTGAGGCTTTGAGTTCTCACGTGAATATATGTGTATAGGAGCTTGAAAGACTTGATGTATTTATAGGCTAATAATAACAGAGTTATATTTGCTCGATTTAAGATATAATTCTCAGACGCATATATTCTCTTACTCCCTATATTTAAGATATAACTCTCATTATTAGCTCGATTTACTCTGCGTGGACTAACGTAGTTTTAACTATCAGTTTTAGAATAATATCGTTCCGATCAGTTTAATATTTACATATTTATTTATATTCATTCATAATGATAACTCTCTCATTCTCTTAAAAACAAATTGGACAATCACACTAATTCAACACATATGCATAACTTCAAATTGAAAACAAATTGGACAATCACACTCTTTCAACACATATGCATAACTTCAAATTGAAATTCACTCTGAAAAACAATATAAACAAAAGTATTAACCGTCATTGCCCTTTTTTTTTTTCTTAAAATATGATGGGTCGACTAGTCAATCAGTTGGACCATCCCATACAAAAAATTTTATTCCCTCGTTCTTTGACATTTACACATATAGAAATTTGCTGCGAAATAAGAAACAATGACACTAACACAATTAATTCCTGAAAATCATCTGTGTTAGTTTACTTTTGCAATGGCTGAATTTATCAACCATGCATGGCAAGAGCCAGTTTATATACTGCGAGTGTTCACACTAGGGGCGGTACCGTAATTAACCAACTCTTTAAGTGTGAACGCAACAAACCAAGTAATTACGGTACCGCCCCTAGTGTGAACACTCGCAGTATATAAACAAACATTAGATAAAACCATATATAGGCTTCAACAACTTCCTCGGCTCAACTTAAAAATCATCAAATCATAGAAACTTATCAGCATCCAGATAAAAAATGCAGAATATGAAAGTGGTCCCTTTATATGGACTATCTCATCCAAGACGAAAAATTCATAATTTCACGCCATACAAGTTACATAGAGAGTCCCATACAAAGATGAGCAGAATGATAACCGAACCATGAAACAGACTAATCATCATCAAGAACGCTCGTCCGCCTCTTAATCTGTTCAGCAAAATCAGATAAAAATTTCAAAACTATAGTCACAGAGAAAATATAAGGTACAGAGCACTTTAGAAAATAATCAACCACAGCTACTTACAGTTACTTTGGTTTCTTTAGTTGTTTGGGTGTTGATTTGTTCAAGCAAAGATATGAGCCTCTCCTCTGATACCTACAAAAAGGCGAAAATATTCAAAGCCAACAACCTTAGAATAATATACAAAGTTAAAGAAGGAACAAAATCTGAGCAACAAATAGCAAAGAGAATTACCTTCTCGACAATCTGACCCGTTTGCGCGGCTCTTATTACAACATCCTCAACTCCTCTTGCCTTTTCAGGTTTAACCAGTGCTATCCTAGCAACTACACATACAAAAGAGAAGAAGGCACACATGAGATCTGTTATTCTTCCACATTTGAAAACTGTCCGATGATGTTTATTTCCCAAAACGGATCCAAATGGTTAAAACTAAACAACTCAATTGATTTGGAAAAGTACTCTTGAAACTAGAAAATGTTATGAAAGGACACATCTTCATTCAACTTACGTCTAGCTCGTGCTTCTGATGTCAAAATCTGTGTAAGAATCAGTTGCCTTTGCTCCTCAGCTTCCCTAGATAAATTTACCAAGTTTAGACAATAATAATAATAATGAACAAAAACTGAAAGCTCAAACAGAAAGGAAATGGGATTAACCTTTTGGCATCCTCTTGGGCTTTATGCTGTTCTGGGTTCTGATTACTACCCTGCAAGTCAACAACTCAGTCACTACAATATGCTAAACAGAGACTATATTTGAAAATAAAAATATATCTTTTCCAGTTTGTGTGGGCTTTAAGGGTTCACCATGCCACGTTGAGCCATTAGCTCCTGCATTCTCCTTTGCCTGATGGCTTCCAACTCAGGGTCAGCCTGAATCAACAAAACCAAGACACGGACTTTAATATCGCATTCAAACAGTCTAAAAAAATTATAATTCTAGCATAAAAATTAGAGTATGTAACAAGCTCTTGTCCCATGACTTCACACTTCACAAGCTTCCTAGAGAAAGTTGACTTGAACACAAAAATTTTGTGTCTTCTGACATTTACCATGATCCATTTTTTAAAGAGAGTAAACGACATTCAACATCTCGTTTTCTTAAGCTTCCTAGAGAAAGTTGACATGAATACAAAACTTTTCTGTCTTCTGACAAAACTTTTCTGTCTTCTCACATTTTCTTATGCCCCAAAGAGGATTACAATCAAGAGATGTCTTATTAGCCACTGATTAAAATACATGCTCATTCTTCTATAATCGGCCCAAGGTTTGGGGACAATAAACTAACCTTAATATTAAACACCAAAAACATTAAACTGAATGAACACCAAAAACAGTAAATATTAGCCTGACAACTAATTAGAACCTAAAGACACGAACTTTTCGCCTTATGAGTCCATACACAAAGGAAACTGAAACGGTTGAATTTTCACTAACCTAATCTCTTCCCATTAAAACCAGCATATGAAATTCAGTGAGGAGACATCTCATTAAGGAAGATAATAACAAAATCATCAGCCATGAAAATTGAAACCTAGCTCACAGTAATTCGTGAGTAGTAAGGAGATTGATAGCCAAAAGGGTCAACAATTTCGC